TCTAAAGTAGGAAAAGCATACACCGTTACTGAACCAAAGAAGTTTAAGCCAAGACTTATGATTCATAATGTAAGTTCATCATCTGTGGAGCAACCAAATTTAATAAATGAAATTATAGAAGCCAATCAACTAAATGTGACTACAAATGATTTAAAAATTATCACCAAAATGAAGTATAAGGATGTCTTTAATGTGGTACTAGAGACATCAGCTGAACTCTTTCATGATATCACTAACAAAGGTTTTCTTTATGTAGGCTGGGTTAAATGTTATGTTAAAGAACACTTTAGCTTAACGAAATGTTTTAAATGTTGCAAATTTGGTCATCACAAAACAGACTGTCACAGTGAAATTACATGTCCCAAATGCTCCGGTCCTCACGAAAAAAATGCTTGTACATCTGAATCGTTGTGTTGTAACAATTGTAAATTATTTAATTCTAGGTTTAAGTTAAACGTTAGCACTGATCATTCCACAAACAGCCCTAACTGTAGTTACTTATTAAACAGAATAGATAATCTTAAATCTAGGACTGATTATGGCTAGTTTTGTAAATAAAAAGTTAAAGTTAGTACATTTTATTACGCGTTCTTTATTCCCTAAGTTTGATATGTTTGTTGATATAGTTACATTAAATAAAATTGACATAGTGTGCATGACAGAAACGTGGTTAGTTTATGATATTCCAGATCATGCTATTTATATACCTGGGTACAAGATATTTCGAAATGATCGTGGCTCGCGAGGAGGGGGTTTAGGATTTTTTGTCCGTGATACATTAAAAACTACAGTAACCATCGGTGATTTCAATCCAGTACAGGGCATTGAGCATCTTTGGATAACCGTAGAAATTGGAAGGTCATCGGTTTTGATTGGAGTTATTTACCGAACGGAAACTTGCAATATTACAAACTTTATTGGATATTTTGATAGTATTTTATCATATATATTACCTCAGTCTGATCATATTATTATTACGGGCGACATAAACATAAACCAGTTGGTTGATAACCAAATAAATCATTGCATGGAATCTTATAATTTTTCACATTTAATATCAGAGCCCACTCGTATAACTACGACTTCTCAGACACTATTAGATGTAATTTTCACAAATAGGACAGATTTAGTTTTAAATTCAGGAGTCATTGATCATCAATTATCAGATCATCGTGCTGTTTACTGCGACATTGACTTAAACGTTAGTTATAAGATTCCCATATTAAAAATGTATAGATGTTATAAATATTTCTCAATCAACGCTTTCAACGCAGACCTAGTGAGTACGCCGTGGCTAAATATTATTTATGAAAATAATATTGAAAAGAAAATACAGATTTTTAACAACCTAATCACAATATTATTTGACAACCAGCCAAAATTACTAAACCGTATGCTCCTTGGTTGACACCTACAATTCGCGAGATGATGAAAACACGAGATAAAGCACTTTCAAAATATGAAAGATCCCAAAATATATTAGACTTCATTCATTACAAAGAAATGCGGAATATCGTTACTAGTGCAATTAGGAAAGAAAAATCAGCTTATTTAAATTATCGTGCAAGCATGCAAAACAAAAAAGACCTTTGGAAAGCAATGAAATCCTTGAATATTTCAAATAAAACTACATTCCATATTCCTGATGGCTTAAGTGACCCTACTGATATAAACAAGTATTTTACGTCGGTATTCAGTCAGAGAAATTGTTGTCCTTACACTACATCTTATTATAACTCAAATCTATTTAATCCTGGTATTAATTTCTCTTTTAAACTTGCAACAGTAAATGAAATTAGGTCAATAGTTTTGGAATTAAAATCAAACGCATTAGGAATTGATAACATCTCAGCAAAAATGTTACAACTTTCTATTTCAGTCTGTGCTCCTTACATAACGCACATTGTAAATTGCTGTTTAGAAGTTGGTTATTTTCCTGATAGCTGGAAGTATTCCTTAATCAAGCCTTTGCCAAAATCAAATAAGCCTGAAATATTTAGCGACCTTCGGCCCATAAGTATTTTACCGACGTTGTCCAAAATTATAGAAAAATTAATTAGTAAACAAATATATACATACGTATTTTCTCATAATATTGTAACCACTAAACAATCAGGTTTTCGAAAGGGGTTTAGTACTACAACATTACTCTTAGATTTAACAGATAACATTATAAGATCAATGGATGAAGGAAAAGCTACAATAGTTACTCTGCTTGACTTTTCTAAAGCGTTTGACACTATAGATCATCAGCTTCTTTGTGCCAAACTCAAATATTTTGGTTTCGATGAAACCTCACTAACATTTTTCAAATTTTATTTAAGTAACCGCTACCAAAAAGTAACGTTAGAGAAATCATCTAACTTTATGTGTGTAACATCAGGAGTACCCCAAGGCTCTGTTCTTGGTCCCCTTTTGTTTTCCATATATATTTCAGACCTTTATACATTATTGGAGCATGTAAATATACACTCTTTTGCTGACGACACGCAACTATATTATTCCTTTGACCCATGTGAAGTAGATATAGCCTCGCAAAACATGAATTCAGATCTAAATGCAGTATATACATTTTCTATGAATCATAACCTTAAACTAAATGCCAGTAAATGTCATACAATAGTATTTTGTCCTAAAAATATAGAACATAATGTGCAACAGAACCTTAAGTTATTCATTCAAAATGAACCTCTAAAATCTTGTAGAAGTGCCAAAAACTTAGGCATTATTTATGACTGCAAATTAAGGTTTCAGGACTATGTTTCGCTCCTAGTCAAAAAATCGTATCTGGTTATTCGTCAATTATACAGGAATCGAGGTATTTTGAGTTTCAAATTACGTAAGTTGCTTTGTGAAAGTCTTGTATTGTCCATCCTAAATTATGGAATTTTAATTTACTATCCTTGTTTGGATCAAATAACCAAATACAGACTTCAAAAGATTCAAAATTGTTGTTGTCGTTTTGTATTTGGTATCAGAAAGTATGATAGAATATCAAATAAAATTAAAGAACTTAGCCTGGCTCAATATAGGAAATTTATTTAAATATCAGATGGCGGCCACGGTATTTCAAATTCTTTTAACCTCAACTCCCATATACTTAAAAAATAAATTGATATATCGGAAAGATCTGCACAGTTTACATTTGAGATATCCACACAACTTAACGATTCCGAATTACCGATTATCATTTTTCAAAAGATCTTTCACATATAACGCCATTTCAATATATAACAGTCTACCTAGGGAAATTAGGACATGTTCTCTGACATTTTTAAAACAAAATTATAAAACGTTTCTATTAGTTGAGCAATGAATACAGTGCTAACGTTAATATATTATTAATTTCAAACATTTTTCCTTATTTAATTATATTTTAAGTTCCATTGATATCAGTTTAGATTAAATACAGGGTTAACATTTTTAATCATAAATTAATTGTATATTAAATTTCTTATTTTTTATATTGTAAATGATGGATACCTTTTGATTATTTTAAATTTATATTTATGTTGAGGTTAAGTTGAGTAGCGCAAGCTAGACTTCGCCTCATGATGTTTATGTGCATTGTATATTACAAGCAAATAAAGGCAATTTATTATTATTATTATGGAGTTATGTAAGAATCATTTTAAGCCACTTATTTTACTCCTAGGTCATTGTAAAAAAGTTTGTGCAATGGATTTGTTTAGGTACAATTTGGGAACGTGATATAGCGACAGGCAGCATGGCAGCAAACACTACTTTCCCGTCTCTTGTATCGGTCGCGCTGTCCCAAATGTCCTTCATTTAATTATATGTAATTCAGACGTAAGAGACATTTCGATCGCCTTATGCTCTGTCTCCAGTCTCGGTCTCGCGTTCACAGATGGTACCTTTAGATAAGGTATCATGATCATGGAAATCATTTTATTTTTTTGTGTTAAGAAATTTTGTTCGCTGGCGAAAGTACATGTAGCTTGATTTTTCTTGAGATAGTTCACTCGTAAAACGGCTTTTCTTAAGAATTCAATAAAATTGAAATATATGGTTACTTGAGGAGTGTTTTTACTCCGTTGAGAAATTTTTAAATTTTAAAAAATCTTAACCCACTTATTGTCATCTTTTTTATTATAAGTACTTTTATTACACTTTTGTGTTATTTTAATTTATTTGTAAAAAAATTGTTTCCGACATAAATTTACACTTGAAGTGTTTTAATTTTTGTTTTATTTTTATATTTTATTTTTATTCGTATTTGTTTTTAATGTATATTTAAATGTTTTTCTAATAAGTTCTAACTATTGACAATTTTATCTTTATCCGTATTTGATTGACTATTTTAATGTGTAATTTTAATAGTAAACGTTGTGACCCGTAAGTACTATTATTGTATAAATTACTGGTCAATAAATATCTATCTATCTTATTATTATTATTATTATTATTAATTAATAATATATTATTAATTTGTCTCACGTTATTTGCTGGTTGCAATAGGCATTGTTAAAGAATAAATTCATCCATCCATTCGATGCCTTTGTGTCGACATAATGCTGGCTGATTTTTGTTAATTATTATTTTTTATTTTAGTGTGATCTATGTGAATGACATGAAATTCAAATTCATCATTTTATTTATGTATCTAAAACCTTTTTTCCTTCGGGCCACATACATATTATGTTTGCTATGTTACACGGGCCGCAACATTTTTGGGTGATGTCCTTTTATTAGGTCATTCATCTTGTAATAAAACAAAACTTAAATACATCCAAACGTTTATTTAAAAAATTAGCGTGATATTTAGCCCAGAGACCGATGAATGTTCTTACGCATTTCGCTCAATATTTTAAAAACTTAGAAATCTAGAGTTTGAAAAATTAGCTTCCCCATAATAGTGTTTCGAGCCGCACATAAAAGCTTGAAAAGTCGCAGGTTCAGTATGGCTGGTCTAAACTTTATTAGACTTGTAAATTTTAATTAATGTTCTTTCAACCCGCTGTAAATGTTTTAATTTGTAGAGAACAAATTTAGATGTAAATCTCGCTGTAAACAATCTTCTATCTCGTGATGACGAAGAGGGCGAAGAAGGAGATGATGCAGCTGATTCTTATGTACCTGAAGACCTTATATCATTACTTGATGGTGGTTTTCACCCTGAGCATTCAGTTATAATTGATGCGGATGCAATGTTTTCTGAAGATATGTTTGGATATTCCAGTATCAGGAAGTAAGTCAAATTATGTAAAATGAGCATTAATAAAATACTAATAAAAACTTATTTTATTGCATGATAGTATTTTGATTGTTATTTGATCAGTTTAATATTATGTAAAATATTTTACATATACAGATTTTGTATATTATGTGCTTAAAAAAATATTCGCGTTTTTCTTTGCTTCCAATTCTTAAGACATTTTTTCCATGCATGTTTATTTTTTCATAACCTTCCATTTTTAACATCTTTTTATATTCATACTCTTGAACCTCCAAGTAATTTAAAAAAACATTTTTTCTTTTTTATTAGAATACATACTGTAACTATAAATGTATACTGAAAAAGGCCTGAACATAAACAAAATGTTTTAAATGTATTAATAAAAAATAAAAAGATAAAATAAGATTTTGACTATGGCAAAGATCGGAAATCTGTTAGTATGCAACTTTTTGTTAAATACATTTTTCAAAACGTCTCACTTTCTTTAATTCATATTTTCAAATTGAATTATATTTTTTTGCTCTTGTAAAAAATGCTGTAGGCACATCACAAATTGCGTATTTTGAACCAAAACGAGTAAAACATTGAATCAAATATTGCCTAACATTTTGTATAGTTTTTTTTTTTTTTTTTTCAACTTTTCTCCTTGGAAAACTGCCAACACTGTATGTTTTTTTAAAGCTTGTTTTGAATAAAATTCTACCTTGCCAATTCAATTTTATTAAAAGAACACTTAAAAAGAAACCAAAGAAACATGTAAGGTACAGTCTGTTCGCTATAATTACGCGGGTTTCGGATTAACAAAATTATGCTAATTAGTCAGACAACCAGTTCCAATAAGCCGCTTCCCAAGAAATTAGGTAAAATTGCTCTAATGGTCAGATTTAAATTAAAATAACATTAGGGTAGGTACTAAAATACTCATAAAATTTTTAATCCGAAACCCGCGTAAGTATAGCGAACAGACTGTAGAGACACACATGGTATTAGGCGAAATTTAGATGGAACATTGAATGCATTAATAAAATAATGGGCTTCGGAGAAGCCATGAACTTATCTGAAGAAAAAAAAAAGGTTAATTTAGATTGAAGGATTAAGAGGAGTAGGTAATTAAAATTCATATGACTCATCCAACCTAAGGAAAAATGTTTGAGCCAATGAGTCTTTAATGTTATGTCTACCCTACAGCACATAAATAATGTTTTTCCGCTTTTTAAATATGAAAAGATTACTTAAATGAAAACTAGGTAGATATTCCTAAAAACATCGTTTGTGAGATGGAAATCCTTATTTTATAAGACTGATGGAAAAATAAAATTATTTTTAATAAATGTATTAAAAATGTATCAAGAGTCAGTTATATAATTTTTAAAAATTTCTATTCTTTATCATTACATTAACAGCCGTATGCATAGTCGATCGCCAGCGACTCGCCAGAGATTCATTTCGGCGTATCGCCAGCGATTCGCTGGGATCCGCCGGCGAAAGCCCAAAAAGCTGGCGACTCGCTGGAGATTGTCACCGGAATGTCATTTCACGCAAGTTTTTATTTTCTTTTATAGGAATTATCACCGGTATCTCTCGCATTTTATTCATGATTCATTTCTTAAAACTCAAAAAATAATGAACGAATATCAAATTTTTTCCTATAAAAGAACATGAAAACTTGCGTGAAATGACATTCCGGTGACAATCTCCGGCGAGTCGCCAGCTTTTTGGGCTTTCGCTGGCGATACGCCTAAATGAATCTCTGGCGAGTCGCTGGCGATCGACTATGCATACGGCTGTAACTGTATTCTTATAAAGAAAGTTGAGAATATTTGTTTCACAACATCTAAACTAAAAGTTGGTTGAATGGAAATGGGCTTATTTTGAAATAGTAGTAGAGGAAAAGGGGCCTAGGAGGGTTAGGAACCCAGATTTTTTAAAAGATAATTTCGAAATTGTTTTTTTGCAACAATCGATAATTTTGCAAAAAAATGAAAATTTTGAAATTGAACATTTTTGAAATTAAAAATTTTTAAAATAATGTTTGCGATATTTTGTAATCATTAATTTTTATAAATTTTTTTAAGAAAAAGGGTGGGGTCGAAGTTGCAAATGCTTTTGATAAAGTTTTCGAGCAAAGAAAACAAACAATGTTTCATGTGGATAGGGGTAAGGAATTTTACAATAGGAATCTTCAGCGAATTCTCGACAAACACAACATTAAAGTCATAGCACCGGTACTGAACAGAGGGCTTCTATCGTTGAAAGATTTAACAGAAGCTTGGGTGAAAAACTAAAACCTATTTTGTACCGGAATTCTCAATGGATAAGTGTGCTACCGAATATCGTAAAACAACACACATCACAGAACAATTAAAATGAAGCCGAGTTATGTTAATCGGGAGAATGAAGTTCAGTTGTTGACAACTGTCTATAATGTCAAGACAACAAATTTGGAATCCAAGTTTACCATACGCCATCGCGTGAGATTATCTGTGTATGTTGATCAATTCAGAAATTAAAGACTTTTTATTTCCTTTGCATATTTTCTTTTCCATGACGTCATTTCTAAAGGAGTACATCTTGGATCTCAACCCTACCCACTCTCTGATAGGGATGCCCAAATATTCGTCTTTGAACAAGCCGTGGACTTTCTTGTTTACTTGGGGCATCCAGTCAATCAGCTAATCTGAGGTGTCAAAGTGTTCTAATTTTCCTTCATGTTTGGGAAAGATCGTCTTATCAAAAACACCTTCCATTACTGTGCAATTTCCGGTGACATTCGAGTACGGGTTGTCCTGGATTATTTTACGCGTTTTATACCTGCGCGGGGAGGTGAAAAAAATTCGTAAAGTTCGCTTGAATCTATGGAGCGGTCTTAACGTACGTGCCCGTCTCAGAGGCGAGCGCGGCTTACTGGCAATTTTGTACGCCCTCGACTGAGACACGGGCGACCATTATATTTACTCACACATTGTTTACGCTCGTTTCATATGCGAGCGGGTTCTAATAAACACTAAATTTTCACTTTAAAAAAATCGGATCATTTTTTGACAAAAAATTAAAATAAATGTGTAGTGGTTAAAAAACTTGTAATTGGCCCATGTTTAATTATTTATTATTAATTTCTTAACTTATTTTTTAAAACCTGTCTAGAAATGAGTCAACACCACCGAGTGGCCTTGAAAAATTATTTGCACAAAAGTAGTAGATTTTTTCTGTGCCACCACCGAGTGAACTTGAAAAAAAAAAACAAAATGTTGATTGCAATATTTCGAGGAATTATTTGCACAAAAGTTATGGAAGAATTTTGCGAAAAAAAAAATATCGTAAAATTTATTTTAAACATTTTTTTATAAAAAAATTCTATTAAAATGTCGCAAAAATTATTTTAAAAATATTCAATTTCAGAAAAATCAATTGAAAATATTCAATCAAAAAAATCAATAGCACAATAATAATTATCGAATAAAAAATCTGGGTTGGGAGGCCCCTTTTTCCTACTACTTGAAACTGCAGTTATCAAAAGATTTTTTTTTATTTTTCCAAAATTAAATAAAGTTTCCGAGAAAAAACACCTAAAAATCCACCGTTGTACAGAAAGCGTGACGTCACAAAATCTTGCGGTTGTTAAAATGTTTAAATAGTCCTTTGTCTGTGTTGCAACACATACCTAAAGCACTGCTTAAATTGAAACCCAAACATACCAGAGGTATCGGTGATAATCCTGCTTTACTCGTGAAAATTGTACTTATGCTCTAGTCAAATTTTTTATACATTTATTTATTCTATCCTCATGTGATTATCAATTTCCTGATATATTGAGGAAATAAAAAATGTCTCATTTTCAAAAAGCAGGATAAGGCTGACAGTTCAAACTACAGACTAATTGTTTACAGACCATGGTCTAACTACCTTAAAACTTTTTAAAATCTCTTGAATGAGCTATTATTTAGGCACGTTAAATTAAATTTGTATCCTGAACAACATAGGCTCTTTCCAGGTAGATCAACCCCTCGAATTTAATTTGTTTAACACCAATATATCTCTGAAAATTTAGGCATCAGAAGTGGTCAGTTATAGGTTATCTATACTGATTATATACCGAGTTCCTAAAATTCATTAAATCCTATTTGATTATAGTTGAATCCAGAAATAATAATGGGTAAAATAATGACAGGAATTTGTGAAGAATGCTGAGAGTTGCCATAAGCAATATCCAATATATAGCCACAACTGAAAAATTTACTATTGCCTTGTTATAATAATGTAATAAAGGTATATATTTTATTATTCCTTGAAGTATAACTTACTTGGGTTTGATGTTTTATATGTATTATAAATTTTTACCGTGTTATACAAAAAGTATGTCTCATCTAGTGCTGTTTTGTATGTAGATTAAATTTAAAAGGAGTTGGACATTATTTGTCTTTGTCCACCTCGACCTTTTCAGATCTATTGTGTACGTATGTATTTTGTTAATTTAGAATATGATACAGGAAGTACATTTCCTAAGTAGTATAAAAAGCTTAAAGTAAAATTAAAAATTGAATAAAAATGCATTACAAACACAAAAAATTAAACAAAGTCACTCGCAGCCGAATTTGAAAGTTCTTAATGGCTGGTACGTTTATATTAAAAATGGCGCACTCATGGTAAAACTTAAAGATAATATACTTGACAAAGTTACGTTGTACCCATTGAATTCTGTTGATCTGGCCTCTATAGACATACAGAGTAGATCACAGTATTCAAGAATGTCTCAAACCAAATAATTGGATTCATAAGTATGGAAAAGGAAACTTAAAGAGAATATTATTGACGAACTTTCGTGGTACCCGTTCAATTCTGTTGATGTGGCCTATGTAGATATGTATTTGTAAAAAATATCTACTAAAAAATTTACAATACACATATTTGATTAAAAAGTCACTTGACATGACTCGATAGCTCAGTTAAAACGTGTTACTAAATTCATCAAAAATTTTTGTGGATTATGCTTTGGTGTACATAAAAAACAGTTTCGGTAAAATTGTGATGCACACACCATTTGTCACAAAAAAGAACTGTTTCTGCTGAAGCTTTCTGGTGTTTTTCTCCTGTCAGTAACTTGATATACAAAAGTACTGCCTCATTTTCACAGTGATAGTTTTTGTTTATATGATATTTGCTGTCATGACACGTGATATATAAGGGGTTTTCTCGCCTCTGAGAAAATTGTCCCTTACTAATGGCGCTGGTTACGGGCGGCTCTCTAGCGCCAGATTTTTGGTTTAATCCACAAACTCTCGAAACGGCGTCGAAGGTACTCGGGTAGCTACAGATGGAGAATAAAAATTCCAGGAGTCAAAGGTCACTTAGACACAGGTAATAGTAGGCCACAAGTAACGGGCTTTAATCGTTGCTTGGGCTGGTACAGAATTTATCACTAGCTGAAATACAAGGGGGAAATAAAGTATGGAATTAGTAACCAGTAATACGGCAAGTTAACATTCACACATATATTGTTTCAAACTATTTACAACATAAAAAAGAATAAATTAAGGTATTTCAACGCTTACCCTCACGGTAATGTGTACAAACCCTTAACAAAAATAAACAAACCAAACGGCCGGAAAATGACTTTCGAATAGCCTCAATCAGACGTAAAAAAAATGAAATCAATAATTGTAGTAATCACGGTCGCAGCAAAAGTTTATTATTGAAATGTCTATTCGGTTGTTGAGCTAAAAATGTAACTTGCTATTTCGTTCAGGAGAAAATTAATTCGGTCGTAGGAAAAATTTACTATCAGACTATTTTTACGGACGCGGGAAAAAATTAACTTTTTAACAGTTTAATCGTTAAACAAACTAAAAATGCAACTTACTATTTTTCTACAGAAAATAATATTTACGGTCGTAGGAAAAATTACCTGTTGAATTGTCCAATCGGTATTTACAATCAAATGTAATTGAATGTTTCGGCAAAGCAAAATTGAATATACGGTTGCAGAGAATGCGAGGAGACAGGTTCGGGACAGTACTAATTCCAGGGCTGAAACCGGGATTCTATAAGAAGTTTACTCAAATTAGTGGTTGGAAAGTAAAACCAACTAACAACCGGGATAGCACATTATCACTGAATGAAGTGATTTTAATCACGAGCCGCTTCAGACAGGGGAATGATACTATTTAAGTTCACTTAAAATAACGGAGACTTACGTAAAATAAACTAATAACCGGGATAGCATATTACCTCTGAATGAAGTGATCGTAATCTCGAGCCGCTTCAGACAGGGGAATGATACTATTTAAGTTCTCTTAAAATAACGGAGACTTACGCAAATGAGTGTTTCAGACGTAAAATAAACTAATAACCGGGATAGTACATTATCTCTGAATGAAGTGATCGTAATCACTAGCCGCTTCAGACATGGGAATGATGCTATTTAAATTCTCTTAAAATTTGCGGTTCGGATTATAAAATAAAAGAAAATGTCTCGTCACAATTCTATTAAGATAACAAATCAAAATATTAGACAATTCCCAAACAGTTCCGACCAATTATTTATTGGTTAAAGCTTTAAATAAACTAAAATGAAATTACGATTTTTCCGCGGAAATTTACGGTAATAGGAAAAATTAACTATACGACTATATTTACGATCGAATGAAAAATAAATTATTTAACAGTTAAAGCCTTAAATAAACTAAAATATAATTAAAAAAAAAAGGTGCTTTCTAACAAGAATAAATTAAAGTCTTTATCAAAACAAGTTTCAATTCTTAACTCAACACGGAATAATATTAATTAAAAATAAATCGGTTTCCAATAGCACGGCTTAAAGTCTCGAGCGGAACAAAAAAAATCAATTTATAAAAAACGATGACAACAATTTACCTTTCGTCAAGATCGCGGCTAGAAATTTATATCGGTTTAAAATTGTATCTATCGGGATCGTGGATTTCGGTGTCTAAATAATTTTTCTATTTTCGACTGTTCGTCGAAAACCTTTCCAATAACAGAAACCCCACCATTACAACTCGCGCACGCAGAGTATTTGGTCTGAATTGCGAGAAGCTGATAATACAGGGCATATCCACGAAGTAAAATTAAGTAAAAATCGAAATTAATACCCGGAATTGGTAAAAAAAAAAAAATATTAACGAAAATTGACTTCATTACAGATATCTTAAATTTCTGAATTCGTTGAAATCTTGCTGATAAATCAACGTCCAAGAATATCTCGAGATCTCAACCGAACTTTGACGCAATGACAGATGACAGCGTTATTCGCCCATTTGATTACTGCCAAATATTTCCGGATTCAACTATAATCACAATTTAACGGTTAAATATAAAAATAAATCGATCTTCTGAAAGGCTTCTACAGGTGTTCTGCAGGGTTCCGTTTTAGGTGTATACTGTTATTTTTTTACACGGTCCGTTAAGTTTGATTTCCTCAATAGTATTGATCCTATCCTTGCTATAAAAAGGGCATAGTTAAACCAATTATTGCTCTCTTTATGCGTCTTGACTTCCAAATATAATTAAGCATCTAATCTTTATTCTGCTAGGTAAGCTGATTAACATATTGTATACTAAAGTAGTACTAAAACTAAAGTGTCAATTTCTACCATTTGCTGACTATTTAAAATTGTTTAGGGTAATCAACTAATTTTAAACAATGTTTAAACACTCTGCTTTAAAGGAAATACATGTTTTTAAAAGTTTTTTCTTTATGAACAACAAATATTTAGATAGAAAGTTGAAGAAATATCCCAACAAATTATTCAAAACTGTTTAAGAGAATTCGTTAATAAGTTAGGTTGTTGTCAAGCAGCTGAAGGTCTTCAGAATGAACTAAACATTAAAACTTATCAATTACTTGGATTTTTACAGATTTTCACTTTTATAAGCAAACCCCCTTCACAGCAACCATAGTCAAAAGAAAGAAAAAAATAAAAACCGCGATTCGTATACAAAACTGCTAATACACCATATTTTCAAAATATAGTAGGTGATAAAAATTAATATTTTCGTCACCTAATAGTACAGAAAAACCCTAAAAACTTTTACACAAACAATTTTTTTAACCAACGTTTAGTTTAACAAGAAATTGGGTATTCCGACACATAAGCCCCGTGTATATACACAGTAATTTATTGTTTAATTTTTAATCCATCTTCTTTATCATTTTTTTAAATTTTATTTTACCTATTGACTTTTTTCGTTTGGCTTTTTTCACTAATTTTTGTTTGAAAATGTTTGACTTTGCTCAAACAAGCTTCCTTAACAGTCGTGGTAGCAGTGGCCGGAATCGTATACCCGACAGAGACGCACCTTCAAACAACGCAGGTGGCAACTCTGACAGAGACAGAGAGAATTTTTCAAGGTGGCGAGATAGGCAGTATTTTGGACCAAGGAGATGGTTGGAAACTGCATTGAGGGATAATACTTTCGATAAGGATGCAGGTAAGATATTTCAGACATGTAAGGGTTTTTATCATCCTTTATTAACTTAAAGTATTTATATTCCTTTTAATTACTTTAAAGATGATCCAAAGGTTCCAGAGAATCTCTAATTATTCTAATGCCTACTATAAATCTGACTTCTTCATAAAAAAAATGATAGATATAAAACTGTGCTCGAGTCGTGAATAAATTCATGAATTTCTTCACGATAAACATGTTCAATTTTTTATCTAATTTTACCTTGAGATTCATAAATACCAACCTACCAAACAACCCACCTAAAAACTAAATATACGTTGTCATTTTGTTGAGTACTTATGTTTTTATTAGGTTTGTTCCTATTCGCTATAGAATCATTGTTTACACTCGCGTCATGTGTTCGCATCCATGGCTACCCACAGTATCAATTTATTCAATAATTGTCAATTGACCTATCTCCTTATTGAGGTCTCTATTACTCATGCACAAGTCATTCTTCCTCTCAAAATCACAAGCGCCTAGTCGGGGAGCAAGGCCGGACAACCAAATTGGTCAAATTAATTATAAAATTATTGTGCTGTTATTGATAGAAATTCGAGGTTAAGCTTGTTTATTATATTTATTATTGTATAATCCTAGGAGCAAGTTTCACACACTCGAGCAAATAATAATAATAGTACACTGGCTAATAATGACTACCTACAGCGCGGCGGCATAACCAAGTATGCAACATTATCAATCAGAAGTTGGCTAACAAGTTCGGACTACTTACCACATATACACCATACTACAAGCACGGCATAAGAAACAATCGGCAGGCTCACTTGCCGCTGATCGCATACAAATATTATACTAAGAAAATTTGATCTTGGCGACGCCATTCGGGGGTCTTAGTCAGGGTCGGATTAAAGCGTATTTAAAGATTTTGTAATAAAATAAGGTATTGATAGGCATGATCGTATTAAAACAAAAAAGCTCTACATATTGCGCCAAATAATTAGCTTGTTTTTATTGATGGTCTTAAAATTTCTATTAATATTTTTAAAGTGTAATATATGAGCAGCCTTAAATATAACTTAGGACCGATTCCACCGTTGTGTTAAATGAAGTTTAAAATGACATTTTTACATTAACAATGTCATTTTAATCTTCGTTTAACACAACGGTGAAATCGACCCTTAATAACAAATATTTATGGAAATCGATGACAAGGAGCGTCAAATGTTATCTCGGAATTAAAATTAAATCTAAAAAAAAATTTCAAACGCCGGATTTAGTGATAAATAATTCAAAGTTGTGTTGAAAAATTATTTCAAAGTTTGTTATTAAACATACAAAACTATTATTTGACATTTTTAAATTGCCAAAAATATCTTCATTTTAAGGCATATTGTGTACATACATAGCAACGTTGAATTTTAAGGCATTTTTTAATTAAAAATCCGCATATATAATAAAATGTTCTTAAAAATATTAATATTTTGTGCATGCAATTCATTAATATGCTTGTTTATATTTACATTTTCTACAATATTGCCACCATTACACGCGATTTTGGAAAATGGCTCATCCTTCTTACTAGTCCTACGAATTTCATGCAGCCTTACAAGTAAAGCATCCCCACCTGTTTCGCAGTTTTCAGTTCCAGAATGTAATAAATTTAAACATTTCAATTTTTTGAACGTCCTTTGAAATTGGACCGATGTAAGGTTTACACAGTTACCATCATGGAGGAAGGATAATTAAGAGTTGCAGATTCCTCATAGAAATTTGGCAGCATGTTTACCTTCAGCGACATATGGAATAGTTTTGTGCAATTAATACTCAGTCGGTAATATAGAAAGATGTAATGCTATTTTAGTTTGAAAATTGGCGGGCTTTTGAATTTACTTCGACAAAATATAAGAATTTTACATTTTTAATAGCACTTGTTCTGTTCCCGCGCATTTTAAGATTTATTTAGATATTTTTTTTTTTATCTATTTTCATTTGGGCTTACAATATTAATTATTTATATTTATTAATTGCGTTTTTATATATAACCACATTGCGTTTAGTAATATCAATATTTAATATATTTAATAATTTTCATTATGTTTATAATTAATTATTATAAAGGTTTGCTTTCTTCACCTATATATTTACCCATTCCTACATATTCCGATATTTAATCGCCTTCCTTCTGAACTTTGAACCATTTTTTTTTGGCTTTTCGCCGTTTCTTCGAATTGTCAAAGCCGCAACTACAGATAGAACGAAAACGAACAGCGGGCTCGAAACATCGAAACACCGTACTCGGAATTTTTGTTAATAATTCAAAGCCGGCAAACCCGTGAACGAAAGAAATTTATATTTTTTCGTGTTACGAATTGTGTTGCGCCTCGCATTGCGCGAGTTGAAGAAAACCTGCATCCCCGGATAAAGAAGACAATTGGCCTTTCCTCCTGTTCCGGTAAGTTAAGTAAACCTTTAATTTCTTTTTGTAGAACCTTGATTTCATTCTTGTTCAGCAGATATATGCAAATAATTTAATTAACACTAAAAAGTGGATCCTTTATGAACTCAACGTCCCTATTAAATACAGTCCGGAACTATTGGAAAAATAATTAATTATTCCTATAAAGTTTATTAATGTGAAGATAACTTATAACTTCACCAAATAAGCTAGTTCCATTGCATTTGGTCCTTCTACCCGCGATAATCTTGTTTTGAACCCCCAGACAATTGATCTGTGGTTAATGAATGTTTTTTTGTTTGAGTTCTATTTTCCACTTTTCGTGTTAATTCAATTATTATTTTATTAACAACACACAGTGGTTATATTGTCGGTTTGAATTTTCGTTTTCAATTTATTTTAGATACCTTTATCTATATTCGCAATTTTCATTTAAAAACATTCATGTTAAGTAAATAATTTATTTCAGTGAATCGCATTGATATCCGCAAAATTTCATATTTCTATATGTACGCAAAAACCGGTGTAAAGGTTGCTATCTGAAGCCGTTTATCGCGTATCGTCGAACCGTTCATTTTACGATTCGAATTGGAACCTAAAATCTGAAATACCGGGGCGGCACCATAAATATTATTTTGTATTCAAACTTGAATGGAAAACATTTATTTATTTTCCATTAGATTGGCAGTGGATCGTTTAATTATTGTAATTGAACCGATTTTATTTTCATTTTGTTCATATTCAGTTACTGCAACTGAAGTTTTCTGCACTTATTGCAAGTGTACCATATTTATTCTTATTTCCCCTTGGATTTAATTAATTTGTTTTCACGTCACTTCCTTTAATTAGCTTGAAAATGCCTACGGAACAGGAGAAAATTCTGCGTCATAAAGCGTTAAGACAAAGTGCCTTAAACCAATTTGCACTTGTTGAAAAATTTGCTATTGAAGCCAAATTTGATACAGCTAAGCATACGCAATTTAAGGTTTGATTCAGAAATGTAAAAAAACTGTTGAAAGATTTTGAAAAACATCACAATGCTATTCTAACCTTATTAGCCGGTACTAGTGATGCAGAATTGCAGATTGAAAATTCAATTTGTGATGATTTCACGAATCGTGTTCATGAAATGGAGACTATTCATTATGAACTATTTGAGATGGTTTTAGATATGTCTAGTAATTTGGCCAATTCTACGGTTGCTTCACCTGCTCCAATCAAGGACAATATACATTTACCAAAAATCGATTTAATGAAATTTTCTGGAGATATAACTGAATTTCCTATATTCATTGAAACTTTTAACGCTTTAATTCATTCAAATAGAAACTTGTCAAATATTGAAAAATTTAATTATTTGAAATCAGCTCTTGGCGGAAACTCTCTTATTTATCTAAGTCGTATTAAACTTATTGGGGACAATTATCCTATTGCGTATGATACTCTCGTCAAAAGATACACAAATAAACGTCTTTTGGCATCCACATATTGGAAATCTATTGAGAATACAACGCCGCTTTCTCAAAGAAATGCTCGTAGTTTGCGCAATCTTATAGAGACATTTGATGAAAATGAGTTATCCTTAAAAAATATGGGATTTGATACTCAACACTGGGATTTTATTCTCTGCATGATGTTTTTAGATAGATTGGATTCACAAACTAGAATGCTTTTTGAACAAAATCATGCTTCAAATGAAATTCCTCTTTATTCCGAAGTTAAGAAACTAGCGTTACAGCAATGTATAGCCTTAGAATCTCTTTGTTCAAATGATAAAAAATTGCCCAAACAACATGGTTTGGAAAAATCAAATTTTTCGACTCCCCCTCGTAATAGCAATTATTATAATTCTCAAATACATTCGCGGTCCAAATCAGCTTTACTGTTAAATACCGGTAAAAGGCAATTAGATTGTTATGTGTGTAAATCAAATCATATGGTTTACAATGTCCTAATTTTTTGGAAAAGACACCTCAGCAAAGATATGAAATTATTAAAAAACATAAGGCATGTGTGAATTGTTTGTCAAATTTACATTCTTCGAAGAAATGTTCTTCCGAGATGTACGACTTGTTCAAAATATCATCATAGCCTTTTGCACTTTGTTTCATCCGCTAATAATACAATTTTAATGAATGCAACACCCCTAGAGGAAGAAACCGTGGTTAATCCTAGTACTTCCTCTAGTAATTTAATTTTAAATTGCGTTCAAAGCTCGACAAAAACTGTAAATGTAGGAATGCTACTTGATAAGCATGATGTTTTATTGGCTACTGTGCTTGTCAAAATTAAAATTAAAGATAATTTTGGTGACTGGCACACCATCAGAGGAGTTCTTGATGGGGGGGCACAATCCTCGTTTATTTCAAAACATTAAGTAAATAAATTAGGTTTGCCAAAATTCAAGATTGCTTTAAATTTACATGGATTAGAGAAAATGCGAACCTCTGCGCATTTAGGTGTTTTTATTAAAATTGCACCTCTTGCTAATTTGCATCAGTTAATTGAATTTGGTGCTGTAATTGTTGATACAATTTGTGGTAACTTACCAAATACTACTTTTTCT